AATCGGTTGTTTCTGCGCAGAGGCGCTGTCGCAAGTGCTTGTAAGGGCTCGTCTTAGAGCTTGTTTCTATTTCGGTTTTTTCTGTTCAAACGTTTGCTAAGTTGACCCTGTGTCGTTCATCTTCCCACTAATGGTTGGCACTTAGTACGCAGGGGGAACTGTTCGTTTGATAGTGAGTGTATCTGAGCCTATATGGCAATTGTTGTGCTTAGAGTAATGTTCTGGTGATGATGTGGGCTTGAACCACTGACCTTCAAGGTTATTGTATGACTCTGGCTGAGAGGGTATCCGGACCACTACTTCGATAATGCCCTTGTTAATTTCTCTTGTAACTTCTCGGGATGTTGGGACCACTGGATGAACGTTTTGACCGACTGGAATCGGTTGTTTCCGCGCAGAGGCGCTGTCGCAGGTGTTTGTAAGGGTTCGTCTTAGAGCTTGTTTCTTTTTCGTTTTTTTCTGTTCAAATGTTTGCTAAGTTGACCCTGTGTCGTTCATCTTCCCACTAATGGTTGACACTTAGTACCCAGGGGGAATTGTTCGTTTGATAGTGAGTGTATCCGAGCCCATATGGCAATTGTTGTGCTTAGAGTAATGTTATGTTGATGATGTAGGATATGAGGTCTTGAACCTGGTACGTACGAATTGGTCTTTGTTGTCCTTTGTAGATGTATATCTTTTTTCTCGCGGTTGGACCTGGTTTCTAACATGTGTCGAAGAGCAATTGTTGGCTCGTTTGTGTCCTAGTTTTTGACGAACTCAGACGATTGGCCCCCTTTGGAAATAGGTACGGTACCGACACTTTGGTCCATTTTCTTTTTCCTTAGTATGAATCTGACCTGTTTCCTATCAGTAGGTGGTGGACGTGATGATGATAGTCTTCAGGAGTTTATTCTTGGTTTCTTACCGGCTACAAATACGCAAAGCTACGTAGTCTTCGTTGCACTTGCGACGACAACTTAAGACCCCTAATGAAGGTTGGGTAGCGGGCCAGCCGAAACTAGTCGGGTCATACCGAAACTAGTCGGGTCATATTGCTGGTTTCCATTGTCATATTTTTAATTAACATCGCGTCCAGGATTTTACGTATTTGCGTATGTCCTTTTCTCCTCTCTCCTCTCTCCTCATTTTTCGTCTCTTTTTTTTTTCTCTTCTTCTCTCTTCCTTTTCTCTTTTCTTCTCTTCTTATTGCCTCCTCTTATACACATCTAGATGTGTATAAGAGACTTCTTATTGTCTCCACTCTCCTTTGTCGCCGAAGTGATGATGTTGTTGATGATTGCTTTCTGAAGTCAGTATGTCAGTATGTCGATTTTTCGTCAACTGCTCGTTCTGCACCACTTGGAATTTGCTGTTTTTCAAGGAAACGTCTTCGACCCCACCCTAATGACGTACCCTTGAAATCGGTAATTGTTTCCACATCCCCGCGGCCAAGTGTCTGCCCTTGAAATGGAAGTGCGGCCCAGCAAAATCAACGAAAATCCCAAAGGTGCCTGAAGAGGTCACTTGGGGGGCAAGGGCTGGACCTAACAGTTTACCCGAACCTTTTTCTTTTTTTCTTTTTTTTTTACCAATCACCACTGTTCCTGGTGCAATGTCGTCAGCATTTCAGTTTCAAGGACGACCATCTCAAGGGTTTCGTCACGGGGTTCTGGAACGAAAAAACAAGTCACGGTAACTTAATCACCTTCACTAAATTGAAAATACAGCTATAATGACAGGATGGTGTATATGGGTGAAGAAGGTAGTTAGGTTCCTAGAGTCAGGGAGAACATTATTAAGAATTGAAGTTTAGAAATGAATCTTTTCGCTCCTTTCATTAAACCATTAGTAATTTTTATTTTTTATTTTTTTTTTAACCATTAGTGCTTTTATGGGACTCTAATTCCCAAGGCAGCAAATTACAGATCTGTACATAATATGCCACCTTTCCACATTAAAAAAAAAAAAAAAAAAAAAAGTACACCTATGTAGCACGGCAAACGTGTTCACGCGAACAGCTCGCAAACACGTTTGGGCGAACATAATTTTTTTTTAGTATATATTGTCACAAACAGAATATATATATATATATATATATAGGGTTGCCAAGCCGAACGTACGGAGACCCCTCAGCTGACCCCCAAACATTTGGGCGTTCGGGTCCCCGTACGGGGCCCGAACCTGAAGGGGTTTGGACCCCGCCAAAAAATATTTTGACACCTAAATATTATTATTTGTTTCTGATTTTTTTTTTGTAAGTTCTTTGTGATGTAAGGTATGTGCCTCTTAATTTTGAAGCTATTCTATTCAGCCAACAAAAAAATGAAAAATCGACAAAGATCGTGGTGTCAAAACTTGCTTGCCCACTCACTAATTTGTTTTTTATCTCTTTTCACTTTTTGTTTTTCCTTTATTTCGGGGCATGAAAAAATTTATTATTTTTTCAAACTTTATTTGTAGATTCTCTATTATGTAAGATACACATACGTAAATTTTCATGGCATTCATCACAGCCAAAAAAAAAAATGAAAAATCCCCAAAGATGGCGGTGTCAAAAACGTGCTCGCCCACTCAATAATTTCATTCTCGTCAGGGTTACCAGCCCGTACGTGCGGAGGTCCCCGGGCAGACCTCCGTACGTACACGCGTTCGGGATCCCGTACGGGGTCCGAACCCGACGGCGTTCGGCCCCCGCCAAAAATTATTTTGGGGCCTAAAAATATATATATTTTTTTGAATTGTTTTTTGTGAGTTCTCTATGACGTGAGGTACACGCTTATAAATTTTCAAGTCATTTGGCGCAGCGAAATAAGAATTAAAAATCGCCAAAGATGACGGTGTCAAAACATGCTTGCCCACGCTTTTTTTTCACTTTTTTCTTTTACTTCAATCCGGGGTCTAAGCAATTTTATTATTTTTTGAAACTTTTTAAGTGTGTTTCGCATTATGTGAAGTACACATATGTACATTTTCAGGGCATTTAGCTATTCCAAAAGAAAATGAAAAATCACCAAAGATGGCGGTGTCGAAAACGAGCTCGTGAACTCACTAAATTTAATTCTTTTTTAATTTTTTGTTATTTTTAATATTAGTATTTGTTTTTCGTATTTTATTTTTATTTCAAATTTGACATGGAATTTGGATGTAATGCTCAGACAAATCTTGTTTAGTTTATTTTTCTTCATAACATATCTTTTTTTCAACTTTTTTTGATTTTTTTGATTTTTTTGATTTTTTTGATTTTTTTTTTTTTTTTTTTTTTTTGGGTCCGCGTTCGGCCCGAACGGACGAACGCATCCCCAAGGGATCCCATACGTTCGGGCGTTCGGGTTCGGGCATTCGGCCCGTCCCGAATGCCGGTTACCCTGATTCTCGTTTTATTTTTTCCTAAATATTATTATTATTATTTATTTTTAGTATTTGATTTTTATTTCAAATTTGGTAAAGAATTTGGATGGAACGTTGAGGCAAATGTTGTTTAGTTTATTCTTCTGCGTAACATATATATTTTTCAGATTTTTTGGATTTTTTTTTCTTTTTGGGTCCACGTTCGGCCGAACGGCCGAACGCGCCGAGAGGGGTTGCCGAACGTTCGGGCGTTCGGCCCGTCCCGAACGCCGGCAACCTTGTATATTTGTATATATCGTCACGAACAGAACTGCCCGGTAAACCGTAGGCAGAGAGAGAGAAGAAGACAACAAACGAGGGGCTGTGACAAACTGTTTTGTCGGACTTTATATATATATATACAGGGTCACCAGCCCGTACGTACGGAGGTCCCCGGGCAGACCTCCGTACGTATGGGCGTTCGGGGTCCCGTACGGGGTCCGAACCCGACGGCGTTCAGCCCCCACCAAAAAATATTTCGGGGCCTAAAAATAATTAATTTTTTCTGCATTTTTTCTTGTGAGTTCTCTATGACGTGAGGTACATGCCTGTAACTTTTCAAGTCAGTTGGCTAAGCCAAATAATTAAAAAAAATCGCCAAAGATGGCAGTGTCAAAACGTGCTTGCCCACGTATTTTTTCACTTTTTACTTTTTGTTTTCACTTCAGTTCGGGGTCTAAACAATTTTATTATTTTTTGAAACTTTTTTAGTGGGTTTTGCATTATGTGAGGTACACATTTGTAAATTTTCAGGGCATTTAGCTATGCCAAAAAAAAAAATGAAAAATCACCAAAGATGGCGGTGTCGAAAACATGCTCGCGCACTCACTATATTTAATTCTTTTTTTATTTTTATTTATTTATATTATTAGTTTTTGTTTTCCGTATTTTATTTTTATTTCAAATTTGGTAAGGAATTCAGATGTAATGCTCAGGCAAATCTTGTTTAATTTATTTGTCTCCATAACATATCTTTTATTCAGATTTTTTTGATGACTTTTTTTTTTTTTTTTACTTTTTTTTTGGGTCCGCGTTCGGCCCGAACGGCCGAACGCATCCCCAAGGGGTCGCATACGTTCGGGTGTTCGGGTTCAGGCGTTCAGCACTCCCGAGCGCCGGTTATCCTATATATGTATATAATATGTATTGTTTTTTGGTTTTTTATTTTTAACTCATGATTGGCTACGAATTTGAACATGACTCCAAGGCAAAAGTTGCTTCTGTTGTTATTTTACATAACATATATTTTTTTTCAGATTTTTCTGAGAACTTGTTTTTTTTTTTTATATATATTTTTTATGTTCGCGTTCGGAGGGTTTTTGGTGCTTGTCCGCGTTTGGGCGAACATGTTCGCATTCGCCTCCAAGCGTGAACACGGTACTACACCCCTTCTAAGCCTTTACCCCCACCCAGCCAACCGATAAACTTGAAAAACAGAAAAGAGCCCACATTCAGGCTGCTTTAGGTGGGCATACAAATGCTCCAACATCAACAAAAGGATATATAATAAATAAATAAAAAATCCCTGACTTCTAGCATGAGTTGGCTGACCTCGCAAGGAGACCTCCGTAGCAAGTCGGCCGGCTACCCGATGAGATGTCCTGCTCTGCCATCCGACTTGTGATTTTAATGAACTGAAATTAATTTCATTGATGGGGTAAGTGTGTGTTTGGTGTGGAAAAAAAGGCGGTGTGGGCTCAGCAGTCAGGTGATTGGCGCATTTTGGCGGTGTTCGATAGCATCATCAAATTTTGATGTACTGAATATCAACAATATACAAGTCGCGCACGATCCCCTAGAATTCCAACAGCCACCAGTACAATATCAAATACACTAGAAAGTCAGTTAACCACCCTAGAAGAGTGAGCTCTAGAATAATGTTGATCATCTTTTTTTTTTTTTTTTAAATAATGTTGATCATCTAGCAGTTTTAACCTAGAAAGGTTAGCCACAATATAGAATCAACCACACTAGAAAAGTCAAACACAACAATAGTAGAAAGCCACCGATCAACCTTCCAGAAGGTTTACCACTAGAATATCAGGGAACTTGTCCTTGATGGCTGCCTGTATGCCCATGCCAATAGGAGCGGGACCTTTGAACCTTATGTCACAAGACCTTTTTTGTGTGTTCACAGCCATCACTTCAACCTCACCTCCGTAGTTGGTTATTGCGGGGCGAAGTATATCCAGGTGCGAATTCACCGACTCCACCGTCGCCCCTATGTCCTGTTTGTCCACTTGGATCACCTGCTTCAATCTTTCGCCGAATTTGCTCTCGAGCGATCTTTCGATCCCCATTTTCATGGTTGCCGTGGAGCTAGGGCATGTCCCACAAGCACCTTGTAATCGCAGGGCGACGACCCCATTCTCCACCGTCACAACCTCAACATTGCCACCGTCTGCAATCAGATAGGGCCTCACTTCATCGAGGACCTTGTCCACATTCTCGGCCGTAAGTTCTAGAGGGACCTGGGGAGCAACTGCCGAACCTGCCGATCCTATATTAGGGGCACCTGGCCTCGCAAATGGACTGACGATCTGACCTGCTTCTGCTGGTTTTTCGCTTGCGGCAGTGGAAGTCGGTGCAGATGGGGCAGGACCAGCCTGAGTTTCGCGTGTTTGCCTGTCAATCACACCACTCCAATCGTCCCCCTCAACAGCACGGAGAAGATTCAGCCGCCGTTGCCTTGAATCCTCATCCTCACCCTCAACATCATCATAGAGATTGTCTCCCATTGCTTTCCTTAACTTCAGCTTTGTCTCCTCGTATGCAGCCCTCTCTTCCTCCGTCATTGCGATCAGTGCGGAGCCATTGCCACTGCCATCTGTCCCTTCCCAAACACCCTTCTCCTCGGCATTACCTGGAGGCAGCAGGTTCCCTCCTGTGAGCTCACCCATCCATCTATCCCTCTCCTCCTCGAGCTTCGCCCTCGTGAGCATCGCCTTGTCTGTCAACACCTTGACTCTGACCATGCCCGTTTTCTCCACGCCCATCCGCATTCGAAACTGTCGCAGCGACACCACAATGTTGCGAGAGTAACCGACATACTGCAGGGATTCGTCACCGTCGTAAATGGCGAACACTCCGGCAGGTCGCTGACCCTCACGCGGATCGGCCCAATCCTCGAAAGCCAGCATGATTGAGCCATCGTCCTCCCCAGGCCGCCCAACGTAAGTCTTCGCTCCCCCATCATGCACCTCAGCACCGCCACTTCCATACAGAAAACCATGAAGTCCAACATGTCCCTCTGGGACGGCCGCATCTGTGACGATACCCCCAAGAGACGACAACCGTTCTGCCATATCCGGTGAGATAGCGGTCTGCACACTTGGTTGTGCTTCCGGCTTCGAGCAACGTATAACAGTTACAGCGGATCTGAGACTCCCCTTCTGCGGAGAGCCGAACAAACCCACCTGGACCCGCCGACTTGGTGCCAATGTTGGGCTGCGTGCCATCGAGGAAAGCACTGTGCGACCCGGCAACGTCTGACACTGCAACCTCTCCTGAGCAGTGGCCATTAGCCCAGCAACGCCAACCAGGGTACTCGAGGAAGCAACCATAACTCCAGCAGCTTGGCTTTGTGCCTGGAGAAAAGCGGAACCCATGCAGGCTTCCATGGCTTGACAGAAACTTTAAGGACAGCCCCAAAAATAAGCACTTGCCTTAATATCTGCTGCAAACTGTTTTTGCACAATGTCAGACAAAATGCAGCAGCAGTTCTGAGCTGACCTGATACACTCACTTTTGAATGCGAAACTGGAAATTATCATACTTTTGTCCTGTTAGTTGTGTAGCTTGGTTATATCAAAAAATTGAAGATAGTTTTTTTCTAGTAGTAGGCACCAAGATAGTTTTTTTCTAGTAGTAGGCACCAAGATAATTTTTTTCTAGTAGTAGGCACCAAAACATGTGGATACTTTTTACAAAATGCACTTGGAGTTATCGTTCCAGTTGCTGCGCTTTGCTCAGGTTTCTGAATAGCATTCCCAAGTTTCATGCATGCACCAGTTGAGATCCGGTTTCGCTTGCAGTGAACCTTTTGGCACGAGGTGCATCCAGCTGGGTCCGTAAATGCGGTCAGATACATTTAAGATAGTGCTAGTGTGATTCCTGATGCCTTTCGTCAGTGATGTCTTAAGATGCAAATGAGTTGAAATGGCATGGCAAGCAGAGCAGGCGAGGCACGCAACTTGGCTGGTTGATGGACTTCAACACACACACACACACACACACACAGAGAGAGAGAGAGAGAGAGAGAGAGAGAGAGAGAGAGAGAGAGAGAGAGAGAGAGAGAGAGAGAGAGAGAGGTGATAGTGTCCACTTTTTCTGCTACACGAAGCTGTTGCTCGATGGTTGTCTCCTATTTCGCATTAATGTGGGCATGACACACTGGGGACTTCATCTAAGGGTAAAAACCATGCTGCATCTGCATCTATGAGCTCACAATCAAGGCGCGAGCGAGCCAGTCAGCAGGGGAAGGGACAGAGAGAAATCCACGCAGAAAGAAAGAAAGACGGGAGAAGGCAATTGGCCCTCTCTCTCTCTCTCTCTCTCTCTCTCTCTCTCTCTCTCTCTCTCTCTCTCTCTCTCTCTCTCTCTCTCTCTCTCNTCTCTCTCTCTCTCTCTCTCTCTCTCACACACACACACACACACACACACACACACACATACACACACACACACACACACACACACACACACACAGATGAGTCAGTGAAAGTCTGATTAAAAAGTCCGGAACAGTCATGCTTTTCTCGCAGAGTTGTATGTCTTGAATACGGCAACATAACACTGCCTTCAGAGGCTCCCCCAACCTCTCCGTTCAGGCGGATCACTGTGGCTTAGGTCGGGACCGTCCTAACGGCCATGCCATTGGATATCATTGGCATAGTGGGTGTGTAGAGTAGTTTTTTTTCATGGATGTGACAGAGTCTGACTAGTTTCTGAGACTAACTGCACTTCTTCTCGGGGATTTGAAGTTTGAACATTGGACCGACAGTCTGCTAGGATTGCAGGGATGATGTGATTGAAGTTGGCCAATTTTCTCAGGGGTATCCCAACAACCTGCAGGGAACCTGGCAAAGTGGTGAGTCCTTATCCATCAATCAAATGCATCCTCGCCAGACTGTTGTGCTTAGACCTCCTGATGATGACCGTCTTCACCCGAATACAACGCCCGGTCCCGGTCATTTTAGCTGCATCTGGACTGAAAAGTGCACCAAATATGGCTATAATGGCCGGGCGTTCTATTCGGGTGAAGACGGTGCGGGAAAGTCTGGCAAAACAGTATCGAATAATGATGCTTTTTTTTTTTTGTGTGTGTGTGTGTGTGTGTGCAGGGGCCATGCTAATCTTCTCTGTATCGTTCCAATTTTAACAGATGTCCCGAAGGACATAATGATGCTTTCGTTGTGCTGTGTACAGCAAACAGAACAACACACACAGACACAACAAATGGTTCACTATGGCCACTGTATTGCATTGGTAATTTGTGGCGCTACCAATTCCCTCCGAGATTCCTTCTCCCAACCTGGATTGCTGCTTGGTGCCAGCACAAAACGAACCAGAGTCGGGACAACATATTTTCTTTTCGTCGCCTGGCTTCACCAGCCTTCGCCAATCTCCTGTTGTCTTGGAGGGGGCAGGTTAACCCCTGTGCCGAAAGAACATAGCTGGGAAAGGGACTGGTGGTTCAATCGATAAGGGAGGTGATAAAAGGTGTGTGAATGGACTGGCAGGAAGGATAGAGGTGGTAATATCCCTCAAACTGGGACACTGACAGTTGCAGTGGCAAAAAAAAAGAGAAAAACAGTGCCAGCGTGGCCTCAGGTGCCAGCTGTTAAGGGGGCCCAGCTGACTCACCAGCACCATTGTTACGGCGTTGTACTTGTAGTTTACAATTACAATGACACAGTTCGACAGGTTGAAGGGAGGTGACTTGTAGTTTACGACGCGGTTTGGCAGGAATGAGAGAGGTGGTAATATCCCTCAAACTCGGACACTGTTAGGAAGATAGACTGTACCAATGATCCCTGTTAGGTGCATGTGTGTGTGTGTGTGTGTGTGTGTGTGTGTGTGTGTGTGTGTGAGAGAGAGAGAGAGAGAGAGAGA